TGTGCATGTGTGAGGTGACTGCTGGGAGACCAACAGAAAGGCAGAGTGTGTGAAGCAAAAATCAACAGGAAAGGAGAGATTGGACTGATGCTTGATAAATTAACAATCCTGCTACTGAAAACCATCCATGCTGTGTGTTCTACAAAGACTTCCTGCATGATGACCAAATTGCAGCTGTTACAAATTTCTTCAAGAATGCTCACATAATACATTAAGACTTCTTAAACCTCTATCATTCATGTGGCCCCTTCCTGATTTTCTTTGTATCAAGTACTTGGGTTTTCTACTTAAAATTACTTAGAAAGGAAACTTTTTATCACTGGTAAATGAAAAACTGGTATCTTTTGTCAAAGAAATAAATACAACAAGCACATACACACACAGAAAAAGAGAATGCTCACATGGAAATGGAAACGTTCCCCAAATGATGGCGTGTACTTTTCTGTATTTTTTTTTACTGCAATGTGATAAAGAAAATACCAGACATGTGCACTCATGTGATATTAGCAAAGGGGCTGACTGATTTGGCATAGATTATTGTTCTCTGTGCAACAAATTCAAACTAACCTCTAAAAAAGCAGCACAATATTTAGAGATTAAAAAGGTCCAGGATGTGATGGTCCATGAAAGAATAGCACCCAAATAGCTATGTCTGTAAGTCTAGATTTTTCTTTCTTTCTCATTCAGAGCTAAAGAGCAGCCCGGAGTTTGAGGCAGGTCCTGTTGAGTGTACCATAGCTTGTAACTTGCTCACTCGTTAGGGGAAAGGGTGCGCCCAAGGTGAGAGAATGAGCTAGCATGGCGGCTGGTTTTCATTCCAGGATAGGTAAATGCATCAAGCCAAACCCTGGGACCACATCTTGGCATAGAGTGATGAAAAGTATGAAAAGTTGTCATGGGCAATATGGTTAATAATTGGGGGCCCTAGCTAGAGTTCTCCCCTTGGTTTTGGGATTGAAAGTTATCATCCATATGCCACTGCTGTATCCCTGTATGGATTTGGTACTGAAGTGGGGTATTGCTATAATTGTGACCTAAAGTGTGGCAATGGCTTTGACTAAAAGTTGGAAGAATCTTGGGAAGCATGATAAGAAAAGGCTAGATTTTCTTGAAAAGACTGTGGGTAGAAATACAGATGTGCCAGTGAGGGCACACTTCATTTTAACCCATGAACGACATGCCTCAGCTAACTGAGGCTTCTAAGGTACATTTGAATGACATTCAAAATGGTTATGAGTCCTGATTCTGCTGCCCCTTCTCTGCAGATTGGTTATAGTCAGCTGGTGCAGATGAAGAATCGATCCTGTTAGATGTTTCTTTCCCCTATGTGTTTGCTTGGGCAGCGGGTGCTTGGAAAATTCGGAAACGTGTAGCTGGCTCCTTTGAAAAGCTGTTCAGTGAACTTGACTGGCTTAGGACTGGGATGATGTGCCGGGGAGGGAGGTGACAGATCCCTCCCCACCTCAGTCCTTTAAAGATTCCATGGGAACGAGCACATGTTCTCTCCAGGTACAAGTGCAACTCCTGGAGGAAAATGCTGGCATTTGTTCTTCTTTTAAAGAACTGCAAGTAGCTTGAGGAAAATGGGTGGTGGTGTTGTTGCTTTTCCATATGGTCCCCCAGGCTCAGTACAACACGAGGACGCACAGAGAATGTGACAACCTGAGACCGAGCAGTCGTTCCAAACTGTAGTGGGCACTCAATTCGGCAGGTTCTCAGGCCAAGCCTAAAATCCTGGGAATAGACCAAACTCCACAGGTGATGCTGGAGCCCACAAAAGGCCTAGGACCACCACTGTCCTGCAGGGTTAACATGGCTCTGTGAAACTATGACTTCGTGGCCAAGTAAGTTTGTTCATCCCACCACTTGTTAAAGTTAAGCCGGCTTCCTTAACACAAGACTTGCTAGAATTCAATGAGTTACTGTGTTTGGTTTTGGGGGGGGGTAGGTAATTAAGCTTATTATTATTAATTAATTAATTTTTTAATGGAGGTACTGGGGATTGAACCTAGGACCTCGCTCATGCTAAGCACACGCTCTACCACTGAGCTATACTCTCCCCCGTCTAGAAGTCAATGTGTTAATGCACACTTTGAATCCCAAAGAAGGGAAGAGTGTATGCCAGTGGTTCTCAAAGTGTGGTTCCAACATAAAATAGATAAATAAGAAGGACCTACTGTATAGCACAGGGAACTATATCAATATCTTGTTATAAACTATAATGGAAAGAATCAAAAAAAGAATATATATACATTTATATATAGTAACTGAATCACTTTGCTGTACACCTGAAACTAACACAATATTGTAAATCAGCAATACTTTCAAAAACAGGAAAGTGTGTTTCCCCAGGACCAGCGGCCTCAGCATCCCCTGGGAATGTCAACATCCAAAGTCTTGAGCCCACCCAAGACCTACTCAGTCATAAACTCGGGAGGTGGGGTCCAGCAATCTGAGTCTTACAAGCCCTCTAGGTGTTTCTATTGTGTACAAAGATCTGAGAGCCAAGTCTTTGCAGTGTTTTCCGAAACTATTATTTCATCAAACGTGGTAGCACTAATATTTTCTACCATGAGAAATGTTACTGAAGTGTGTGTGTGTTTGTGTGTGTGTGTGTGTGTGTGTGTGTAAAATGGAAACGTATGAAAGTATCACCGCTTGTAGGGAGGTTTCCTGGAGGACAATTTAATTATTGATTTATTTAAATACCACCTTCTGTTAAAAACCACTTGAGGCAGCTCAGAGAGAATACTGGGACTAAAGGATTATCCCTGGGTATTTCGGCCATGTATTATTTATGCCAGGCTTCCTTGAGACACCAATGTACTGATTTGTTTGTTACCAGCAGACCTAAGCTATTCCAGAACAATGAAAAAGCAAAAGCAGCAAGCAAACTAGTCAATAACTAAACCTTTAAGTCCTTGGAGCAAGCCTGAGACGATGCACTACTTTTCTCTATGGACTGAAAATCAGTAAGACTTAATAGGCGGCAGGGTTGACTGAGTCTACTTCTGGTACATGGTACCCAGGCTCCTGTCCAAGCTAGGCAGCCTCACTTCATGCAGTTGGACTTCAGAGCTCTGGCAGGATGAGGTCTTAAGACGGGATCACAAGGTGACTGAACTGGGCCGGGTTGGGCCGGGCTGGGCTGGTCTAGGAGCACCTACAACTGACCCTGGCCCAAACATCTTAGGAGCGGGCTGCCTCCCCTCTGTACCAAAGCATTCTGCTTGGGGGCCCAGTGACTTTATTTGATGGATGCCCTGAAAAGTGCCAGCTATGTTTCACCTGTTCCTCCACTCTTACCTTCCTACATCGACTATTCCCGAAGCATCACCGCCAGGCAATGGCAGCTTTGGGGAGCCAGTGAAAAGTTATCAACATTAAAAATGTTTATGTTTTAGGAAACAAACTTATGGTTACCAAAGGGGAATGGGGATGGGGGAGGGATAAATAAGGAGTTTGGAATAAGCAGATACAAACTATTATATATAAAAGAGCTAAACAACAAGGTCCTAGTGTATAACACAGGGAACTATACTCAATATCCCATAATAACCCATAATAGAAAAGAACATGTATGTATAAACATAACGGAATGACTTTGCTGTACACCAGAAACTAACACAATATTGTAAATCAACTATAATTCAATAAACATTTTTTTAAATGTTTATGTTTTCCTTCAGTTCTCAGAAGTGGAAAGGGCGTTAGATACTTAGTCCTGTGCCTTCCCCCTACCAAGAGAACTGAGCAACAGAGAGGGGGAACCGACAGTGTGAATGGCAGGGACAGTACCAGGACGTAGGTCTTATTTGTACAGTTCATCATTGAATGGGGATGAGAACTCTTCTGTTCCAATCTGAAGTCCAAATACAATAACTAGTACAATAACCACACTTTCAAGAGAGCCCATGTGAATATGAATCTCTAGACTGTAGATTATCAGAGGACAGTGACCTGATGCATGTAATTCAGTGTTTAACTCCAGTTTCTATGACAGTTCGTGGCACACAAGGGACACTCAATAAATACATGTTGAAGGATTCTTCTTTGAATGAATATAAAGAGTTTATTCGGTGCGTATCTGGGTATACAACAACAAATATTAAACAACTTTTTTTTTTACTTTTTTGTGCACAGGACAGAAAACTGCCTGTACATGCTATGTCCACTTTTGGAACACAGATTTTAACAATTATTAATGCACAAAATCTTACATATCATGCAACTCTATGCCAAGATTCCAACTTTCTTCCATGCAACAGATATGAAGATCTAAATGGAAACCTAGCTAAGTCTTAAACACTTTTCCAGAAGCAGGTATAAGTATATGTTGTTTAGGGGTAACCAGTCTTAACATTTCCTTGTACACAATATTCACGTGCCAAGTACAATGACAGGAGAACTCTTACATATACAGGTAAGACGTCTCTTATTTTAACAACACGAAAGACAACACAGTTCCACAGTTCCTGTCGTTACACAAGAAGCCACAACAATAGTTTAACATGATAACACAAATGGAATTAAGAGAAATCTACACTTGAGGATGATTTTATTTTAAGGAATCTTTACCGACGGGGGTTGACAACACAACTCCATTTCTACGCACAAAGTACAGCACAAGAACTTGACCAGAATACTACAAATCTACAAGAAAAAAAAAATCGGTAAAATCACAAGAACACTGTTACCTTGAGCCTGAGATGCCAATTCAGCTTCAACCCTGAATTTGGTTGAGTTGGATTAAGAGACGCAGAGTCAATAGAACCATTGAATTTCAGAAATCATAAAGTTGCGCTATACCAAAGTAAAGAATACGTTTGAGTCAAGCATAGATAGAAAACATTAAGCCAAGAAAACAACACAGTTCACATAATTTTGTTTGCCCCTACAAAACATTTAAGCAGTTAATTTTGTTCTGTTTAGTTTTTTTGTTTGTTTGCTTGTTTATTTTTGAAGAACAGAGTGGTCTTTTAAATTTTCTTGGTTGGAGAGCAAATTTTTATCAGCATTAGTGCTGTGAACTGTTTTTGGTTCGTCTTCCCCAAAGCATAGGTGAGAGCATGAGAAAATTGAGCAGTCCTTCCCCCAGACTTAGTTCACTTGATAATGCTTGGCATTTTTTTTTTTTTTTGCACAAGCTCAATCTAAATTATGGGGCTTTATGAGAAGAAGGTTTAACGGCAGATAGAATAGTGAATCTGCCTGTTTGTTTGGTAAACGTCATCGACAAATTTGAACTTTGGGGTGAAGGACTGCTAGAAGGAGTCAACAGCACCTGGAGGTAAGGTTCTGTTACAGAGCCCTTGTTTTGCCCTCACTGGCTACGTTGATTCATTGTGGCTCATGGATTTGCCTCCGTTCAGCACGCCGGAGACGCTTCTGCTCTTGGTTGGGGTCCCGCTTCCAGATCGGGAGAGCTCCGTGAGATCGTGCAGCGACGGCTCCTTGTACATGGCCACTGCAAAGCACAGACAGATGGTGTGAAAGGCCTTTGAATGGGCACGGCACGCTGGTCCTCAACTTGTCCTCTGCTTACTGGGCTTCCGTGCTTGAGGCCAAACAGGACAAATGCTGCTTTCAAGGGCCCAGGAGAGAGCGGACTGGACCAGATTAAGCCAAATCCAGTCTTGATACAGTAGTGTGTAAAGAATTCTAAGGCCTAATTTCCATCACTTATGGTTATATATATGAGGGCACTGATGAAAAATGCATTTCATAAAGCTCTTAGATGTGTATAACCGAATCACTATGCTCTACATCGGAAAGTAACACAACATCGTAAACTGACTATACTTCAATAAAAATAATAAATGAATAAAATAAAATAAAGCTCTTAGAAACTTATATATGATGAACAGCATGCAGGGCGAGCCAAATATGAAAATTTAAGACATTTTTTAACACTGATTTCTCTCCTACTTTAAGATGAAACTCTCCAAGAGTCTAAGAATTAGCATAATTCTTAGTACTAATCAATGGTAAATACTGTGCTGTAAAAAACAGTCCTAGCTTACACTTATGGAGTACTTACCACACGCCAGATACAGTTGTAGGAACTTCACTTGCATTATCTCATTGGATCCCCATAAGAATCCTATGACGTAGGTACTTTTATCCATATTTTACAGATAGGGGACTGGAGGCACCCACAGGTCAATGCTCTGCCCAAGACCATCCGGTGAGTAAAGAGGGAAGCTGGGATTCGAATCCAAGTGATCCGGCTCCAGCAAATGTGTAGTTAAACAGTGCTATGTCGTTTTGCCTGGGCAATCTGCCCCTGCTCTAAACACCTATTCTAACCTCAGGCCGGTATCCTCTCAGCGGGCTTGCTCTGCTCCACCTGTATTTTCTAACCATCCTCCACCATATCTCACTACTTCCAACATCCCTATCTCTTGCAGCCCATCCCTACCTCTTGCAGCCCATCTCTACCCCTTCCCCTTTCTAATTTGCTTCTAACCCACTAATAATGACCAGAAAACCAAACCTATGAATGGAAATTGTTGGGACAATACCGTTGGATCCTTAGAGAGGGTCCAAGGAGTCTTCTGATAAGTGTTAAGTGTGCACACATTTTCGCACCTGTGTTTCTGCCTGGGGACCATTTTGGCATCATTTGGGGTTCTGGCTGTCCTGACTTAGCAATTAAGCTACTTCCATACAAGGAAGGTGTTATCACATGTAGATGTACTATGGAAAAATTAAAATCAGGAGAGTAGATGCTACTGTCAATGCTTTAATGTCTTGTAAGTGTAAAATGTTACTGAATTTTTGTATAAATGCCTTAATATGGAAGAATTATGTTCCACTTTCAAAAGCATGATATAGGATTGATCTAACTACCAATACTCATTTGGTCCACAGCTGGTATAATATCAAGTTACCTTTCAGTGGTTTGGGCAGAAAGTGGGCTGCAGGCTTGTTCTTCTTCACATGGTTTCCTTTCATGATCTCTCCTTCTTTGTTCAGACCCAGATACCACCCTCGGCCTGACTGCTGCTGACGGTACATCATCGATGAATATGTCACGTAATAATTTTCAAACACCGATTCTTTGAATTTGCACTCAGGTGTGAAATGTTCCTACAAGAAAAGTAAATAAACAAAACACAACATTTATAGCTGTGAATTTCACGGAGGACCATGTGGTATTGCCCTTCAGGAGTTGAGGACATACTTTGTTAAAGTTTGTTATGACCAGTTTTCTATTTTAATAGCATAAACCAAGACTATATGTAACATTTCACGTGACGCTTTAGAAAAAGCCCTAAGTGCATGTGCTACTGATCAATGGTTAGCTCTCTTTGTAATAAGGTAATGGAAAAATTAGAACCAGCCACATAAGTATAATGTATTGGACAAATACAGCAGCCAAAGATCAAAAAGACAAACATAAAGCTGTCACATGGAGTTCTGTTCTCTCGGGATTAAATGCGAAAAAATAAACATTCGATCCTTATATTAATTTTCATAGATTATCCAGTTTACTATAATTTTCAATTGTTCGAGGCTGAAATCTCTGTTACAGTGTGAAAATGCAGGCTGTCTATATTTCTAAAGAGATGCTACACATCAACAAGAGAAAGGACAAAAACCGC